AAAAAAAAAAAAAAAAAAAAAAAAAAAAAAAACAATCCAAACAGACTGAAGGACAAGAAAACCATTTTAAATTAAAGACAAAGGATGATGAGATAGCTCAGTGGTTAAGAGCACTGGCTGCTTTTCCAAAGAACATGGGTTCAGTTTCCAGCACCCACATGGCAGCCTGTCAACTGTCTGTACTCCAGTTTCATGTGATATCCTTCACACACACACACACACACACACACACACACACACACACACACACACACACACAAACGCAGGCAGAACATCAATGTACATAAAATAAAAAAATTAAAAATTAATTTTTAAAATTAATTAATTAATTAATTAAAACCAAGTAAAGAGCCATGGCAATGGAATGAAATATGGCATGTTTGCTTGTGGGAGGACTGTTTTGAGACAGAGTTACTATGCTACCAGGCCAGCCTCAAACTTGCAGTCTCAGATATACACATGCCAAGTAATTTACAAGTGAAGCATCATGATGTCTACAACATTTTTTTTTTTTCCAAACAGGGCTTCTCTGTGTAGCCCAGACTATTCCTGCAGCCCAGGCTGGCCTCCAATTCAGAGATTCACTTGCCTCTGCCCAGCTTACAACTTTTATATTAATGTGTATGAATGCTTTTCCTATGTGTACGTATATGTGCCATATGTGTACACCTGGTACCTGAGGTTAGAAGAAGGTATCAGACCCCCTGAAACTGGAGTTAACAGATGTTTGTGAGCTACCATGTGGGTGCTAGGAACTGAACCTGAGCCTTCTGTAAAACCAACAAGTGCTCTTAACTGCCGAGCTAACTCTCCAGTCCTTTGATGTCTCTCTACAAATTTTAAATCATCTACAAATAATAAAGGACCTGAATATATACAATCTATACACAAAAACTATGTATGTATAGAGAGTGGAATGGTGAGAGTAAGAAAAGAAAGAAGAGGATTGGGTGAGTTTGTCAAAAGTCAATGATTGGTACATCCAGGTGAAGGTGTATGGATATTTGCTGTGCAATCCTTTATATTCCTGAGATTTAAAATCTTGTAACATTAAAGGCAAAAGCTAACTACAGATTTCGGAGCACGGAGCTTTACTGTAGGAAAGTTTACTATTATTTTCAAATTATTTCATCAAGACTAAAAGCACTTCAGACCTCTGGCAATGTACACTTCAACTCAGAGCAAAAGCCACTTTCAAGAAAAAAATGTGATCTATAAACAGATCTGTCGGAAGAATCAGTGTTTTTCTCTCCATAATCCCTTACATGTAAAGGCAGAGAAAGCAAATTATTTGGGGAACACTACAACTTATTATTGAACTGAAGTGCTCTACTCTTAACTTGGTGTGGGCTGGGGTCTTGCCATAGTGCCTGTGTGGAGGTTCTCTCCTACCACTGATCTAGGAATACAATTCAGGTTAAGCTCTTGAAACAGCTAGCAAGCCTTTAAAATACTTTAAGTTGGCATTTATTAAAACTTCTATGCTTTTTGCTATTTCTCCTCATGCTTTGCATAAGTATTTTGATGCTCATGAAAGAGTTACATATAAATTTAAAATTTTCCATCAATATTTTATTTTGTAGTATGCATGTTTTGGGGAAAAAATTGTGTGTGTGTGTGTGTGTGTGTGTGTGTGTATACTCTGTTAGGTTCTTGTAGGCAGAGTCAGTGTGTGAGGAGTAGAAAGCAAATGAAACAGTAAAGGAAACTACTAGGAGTTAAATATCAACTACGGGCAGTCACAATGCTAAAGGCTATTGAATCTTATGTATTTAATACTCAGCAGCTCGAGCTGACCTGAAATTGAGGGAGTCATCATGCCTCAGCCTCCCAGCTGCTGAGAAAGAAAAAAGATTAGCTACACAGATTCGTGGATGCTGCCTCAAAGGATCGCCAGAGTTAGGATGAATCTTGTTAAGTGTCAGATTTTCCCAGATTATTAGCTGAATGTCTGAAATGTGATGAGGTGTTTAGTTAACAAAACTTTGGGGAAAGGCTGTTTTATTATGTACCATTATCAGGACGCTGGGAAATAAATGAAAACATCATCTCAGAAAGCTGGAGAGGGGTACAAGAGCAAACTCCATGACTGAGGACTTGGTAAAATCTATTAGACCCTTAAGCAGAAGGATCAGGAGTTTAAGGCCAGCCTGGTCATGCACGGTTTTAAAAAAATAAATTAAATTTCAAAAAGAGGGCTGGAGGTGTGGCTGGCTTGGTGCAACAAAATATATTAGCATTTATAAGATCCTACAATCTATCCAATCCTGGATCCTGAAGTCCTAAAGGCAGGAGAGAGAAAAAGACAAGAGAGTAGTCAGGGACAGACAAAACAAATCAACAGATGACGGACCTAAAAAACAAACAAACAAACAAACCAACCATTTTTTATGAAAGAAAATATATTTTAATGGTACAGAGAACAGTTAATATTAATGCTTTTTCAAAAATCTTAGAATAAAGTGATTTAATTTAGCCAGTTTGACCACATGAGACTCTTTCCAACTTTCTAATACCTATTCAATTGATTTTTTTTTTAAGATTTACTTATTATTTATACAGTATTCTGCCTGCATGTGTGCCTGCACGCCAGAAGAGAGCACCAGACCTTGTTAATAGATGGTTATGAGTCACCATGTGGTTGCTGGGAATTGAACTCATGACCTTTGGAAGAATAGCCAGTGCTCTTAACCTCTGAGCCATCTCTCCAGCAATTGTTTTGTTCTTTTCCCCTCCACTTTACAAATGTATGTTTGGGGGCTGGTGAGATGCTCAGTGGGTAAAGATACCTACTGCCAAGTTTGATGACTGAAGTTTGACCAACAACAGGAGAGACTTGATCCCCACAAGTCATCCTTAGATCTATACACACGCACATGCACACACAGATAGACAGACAGACAGACAGATAGATGCAAAAGAATAATTTTAAATAAAAACATTTAAAAATAAGAAATATAGCTGGGCGGTGATGGCACACTCCTTTATTTCCAGCCCAGGACATACTCCCTAACAGACTCAAATATATTTTGTTTCCTGTAAAATGTAAGCCATCTAAAGTAGGTAAGTTTGAAAATATTTAAGAATCAATGTCTCAAATTTTATTATACTTTGAAACAATCCACATATTTAATTAATATAGCTCACCTTTTCACTTAGTAGTATAGCTTAGTTGTTTTACATAGACAAATAAAAACAATTACTGCTGAAAAGTTCATTCATAAACTTATTTTACTTATAGCTGCCTGACTCACTTATGCTTAATTATGACTTAAGTTCTCACGGAAAATCTCCAGAGACATTAATAAAGTTAAACACCATTATCTGTTGAGAAAGGCAAGAGTCAAAAACATTACAGAAAACTAAATACGAAGACACATGGCTGTATATCCCAGCATTCAAGAGGCTCAGGCAGGAGGAAAGCTAGCCTATCTATGCCGTCTCAGGGGAACAAATCCCAGGCCGGAAGTGGTATTGCACATGCTCAGCATCTATGAAACCTGCCTTTAACTCTCAAAAAACAAAAATGTATCACAGAAAAATCTACAAAGTTAAAATACTACTCCTTTCTTTCTTTTCCTTCTTTTTGATTCTTGTTATATAGCAAATAACTTGTTTTAGCGAACATTCTGTTCACAGGTTAAACTACAGTTTCACAGTCCAAACATCTAGTAAAGATAACAAGCTGAGCAGAAACTGTCTGCATCATGGTCCATATTGACAATTCTGAAAATACAGCTGTTTTTAACAACAAGACCAATCTTATTCATACATGGTTTACACAAAGCATAGGAATTTGAAAAGCACATGGGTTATATTTCTGAGAGTTTTATGATTATTTATGTAAGTGCCTGTTTTTGGTTTTGGTTTTCTTAGATTCTTTGTTTTTGTTATTTTGGGTTTTTGAGACTGGCTTTCTTTGCGTAGCCCTGATGTCCTGACTCCCTCTGTAGATCAGTCTGACCCTGAACTCAGAGATTCACCTGCCTCTGCCTCCTGAGTACTGGGATTACAGGTACATGTTACCACCACTTAGCTCTTTTCTTTCTTTGTTCGAGACAATTTTAAAAGAACTCCCTTAAAGAATTTTATAAATGAATTTGGCAATATCATCTAGAGCAGTGGTTCTCAGCTTTCCTAATGCTACAACCCTTTAATACATTTCCTCATGTTGTGATGACCACAACCACAGAATTATTTTCACTGCTCCTTCATAATTGTAAATTTGCTGTTAAGAATCTTAATGTAACAGATGTAGCCCATGGCAGTTTAGTGTCCAAGTGGGTTACATAGTAATGGGAAGAGGGACTGCCTGACATAATCTGACTGGCCTGTTCTTTGATCACCTCCCCCTGAGGGGGAAGCAGCCTTACCAGGCCACAGAAGATGACAATGCAGCCACTCCTGATGAGATCTGATAGACTAAGATCAGAAGGAAGGAGAGGAGGCCCTCCCCTATCAGTGGACTTGGGGAAGGGCATGTGTGAAGAAGGGGGAGGGAGGGTGGGGCTGGGAGGGGTGGAGGGAGAG